AGGAGGAACTCACTGGGATGATTTCGGCCATGTCTGATGGTTGGAAATTTAATCAGGTCATTTTTTAATCATAAAGTTATTTTTTGCAAACTCGTCATTATACTCTTGCAACCTTACTCTAGTACCCGAAACATTCACAATGCACCAAGAACAGTCGCGACCTCACCAACGAAACACAGCTTGTCATCCAAAAACTGAAAGAAAACTGCTCCAAGTTTAAACCGACCATCTCACGGATGGCTCGCCATTTCGAGATTGTTGTAGTCATTGTCATCTGAGGTATCATGACAAGGTCAGAGTACCCTGATTAATGATATCTATCTCAAGGTACAGGTACATGGCGGATTTTGCTCCAGATTCAACGGTGGTTATGTACTGCCAGAACGAACTTAACTATTTAAATAAGTAGATGAAAACAATCCATATGAGTGTACTTAACTCTGATCAACTGGTACGGCTGATAATCGACGATGATGCATTCTGATGGCATCGCGCCAATCATTCTCCGTGGTATCGAGTCTTCTCTCTCTCTCTCTCTCTCTCCAGATGCGTCCTTTTCGATTTCTGAATTGATCTTCCCGTCGTCGTGGTAGCCGATCAAGCGGCCTAATGTGCCAACCAGCGGGTAAAAGTCGATAATCATTGATGACCGTTTCGCGTGAGTGAGCCGAGCTACGTGCTCGGACCACCGTAGTTTCTCCTTTCTACTTTCGGCGACAACGTGTTTTTCTTTCATCCGTTGTCTGATCACTGAGTTAGGGACGTGGTCGCGACATGAGATTCTCAACATTCTTTTTTTGGAACGCTCTCTCGGGGCCAGGTAGCTAGACACCCTTCGGCTTTGGTCAATGACTACGACACAGAGAACCAACAGCATTGTCAGCAGGGCGGTAAACTTGAATAGTTTAGCTTGCGTTTCTTTTCACATGTTGCTCAGGAAGAATGAAACAGACGCTCGTTGGCCCTCTTTTTACTTTGAGTTTCTGTTAATTTCGCAGTAAGTGTATTTATCGATGTCTTCGATCTTTTCGCCATTTAATATTTCCTGGGCCTCGATATGAGATTGTCACTGGATGTTGTGACTGACGATCGAACTCGTGGAACTCGAACTTGGCCCCGCCCTCCTTTTCCTTTTTTCTTCAGGCCATCGCTTGTCTCCTGGGTCGTACTATTTCTTTCATTGTCTACACCCTCCTCAACATAGTTGAGAAAAATATACTTTGGCAGGCTTGAAAATACATAGATTTTATTCGTTTATGCACTTATGGTGATGGACAATTTCGGTGCTTCTGAAACGATGATGTGATGTTGTGAAACTTTCGACATGTTTCATTGAAGTTTCTTGATAAACAGGCATTGTTTATATTACCTTCTGCTTATACGTCTGCCGTTTTGGTCACATCGATTGCGAATGAACTCAGTGCATGCTTTTTTAGCTGGTATCCATTAGATCTCCTCTCGTTTACACGAATAGTCAGGAATCAGAGTACCTCTGTATCGTTTCGAAGGAATATCCAGAGCAGGTGCCTCCCGGTTTTCGAGACCGAGAAGATTCCGACCGCGCCAAAATCTTGCAGCAGAAAGCGAGACGCATGTAGTCTATCGTTCAGCCCTGCTATTCTCAAGTCTGGGCGTGTCGCTTTGTGCGTATTATTGTTTTTAATGTAAATATAGTATTAATGCCTTACTGCCTCATTTGTCATTGCTTCTGATTCTCAGCCGCCTTAGTTTGGATTCTGTATTACTGACTTTGTTTTTGTTGTAATATGCATGTTCATGTGTAAAGTAAACTTACCGACCGGGATGACGTTGTTTATTGACCATGGCGACTTTGTCAATGAAACAGCTTTGCTTGGTCCGTGCGCACAAATGAAGCTTAACCAAAACATGAACTTCACGTTGCGAAATGAAGCAACTTACTGGTTGGGACTCGTTTATTTTGCTTGGCAGTACGCTTAGTTGATTATGCAATAGTCTTGGACGGAGGAAGCCGGGCAGAACGAATGAGCGTCTTTATTGAATTGTACGGATTAAACGTTTTGTTCGAAAAGCTGACTCATTGTTTTCATTTGTTAAGCTGTAGTAATCCTGCGATTCTAAAATTTCAAAGATCCAAGATAAGGTTAAGAAAACACGTGAAAAGAAACATGTCTGATCAGCAAATTAATATTTAAAGCAATCAGGATGCACTTGTTTGCTTACTGCCTACTTCTGAAGCTTTTACATTTGATTAGAATCTGAAAGAAGCGAATTTTAAGATTATCGATTTTATTCTCAAGGGAAAGATATTCATCAACCTTAACGTAATTGTCTGCTTTATGATTGATAATGATAAGCATATGGTCGACCTGGATGCCCGTCATAATCTGTAATCGTTGCAAAGATTATGATGGTATTCGTAAATATTATGACGATTCTTCTAATGTTTAATGATGCAAAACTCCTCTCAGACAATTTTTCGCGGCGTATTGGTGTATCCCCTTCTTACAATGCCTGGATGATATTTTGAAAGGTACGGCGTTTTGTATACTAGAACAATTTTTGACATTTCAGGAGCTGGTAATTTGGCCAGCTCTGGGAAAAGTCATTTGTTAACTGGCTAGTGTAGCCTGTTCATCAAAAATTTTTTACGTTTATGTGGTAACACAAAGACCACTAGCGACTCCGTACGCGTCACTCGTTGAGTGAAAGACTGCTCTAGCGAATACAAAATCTAAACGTATCTAGGAGTGCAGGTGCTTAACTAATTTGAAGCTGCCGCGTGGCTTTGCTTTGGAAAGCAAGGTACCGTGCGAAACCTCAAAATGAACTAGCACTATACAGTATGCCACTACACACAGTAAGCGTGAACATAACAAAACATGGCAGTAAACAAAAGAAAACGCACCGCTCAAAACGGACTGATGAACGCCAAAGGCAAAAAGTGCCCAGAAATGATACAATGACAGATGTTCTAGAAGACAAACTAAGATTCTTTACTACAAAAATAATTTCACCAGATCTAAACCATATAAAAACGACTTTAAACGCTTACTGTTAGAAAGCCGCGATAATGTATACAATCGTAGTGCGACATGAAAACAAAAAATACATGTAGCATCATGTAGAAAATTTCAATAAGTCAACGTTCTGAACAGTCGTCAAAATTAAGTACAGTAATAATAATCATAATCTCGGAACTAAAATTTTCGCAAACAAACAAAACCAGCAGCAGAAAAATAAAATAAATCACAAATTAACCGTATCGAACGCAACTGGTTACCTGCTCTAGAAAAACGGAATGAAATACGCGACCAGCAAATGTTTCACCGAAGCACTTCGGTTGGCTATGTGAGTAACAAAATTTGAAACAAAAAAACAGGTATGCGCTATATGAGAAACAAAAAACAGGTAAACGACCTAAGAGCAGTGCTGCATCCGTCCACCGATCAAAAGACGTAGTCACGCTTCAGTCTACTCTACCCGAGTTTCCAACTTGAACCGTTCGCCCGCGTCGCTTTCCAATGAGCGGCAGCCTCGGTCTGCAGCAGAACCCTGACTACACTCTTCGTCCGAAATTGAGCAGTTCGACTTGACTGGCAAACGTGAATGATTTGTGTACAACAGAAAGCCGCAGCTGTTCGAAACTTCGTCATCACCCGGGTAGTAGGCAGCCGACAGTGGACACTGCCTCTTAGCCTTCTGGCGACGATTACAAAACCATACTCTGACAACCTGAGCGTCAGAAGAAAAAAAGGTACGTAAGCGGCAGCAAAAAATGCGATACATAAAAAGTGGGCGCAAGTCGCGTCATCGCAATACCTCACGGTCCAAGTTCAGGTTCTCGGCGAGCGCTTCCATCACGACCGGTACGGGTCTGGGGTTGCTCTGAAACGTATCTTCGAGCACGTTACGAATATTTCCTTCGATGCTGGTCCTCTTCTTCCGGCGCCTGTTTAGCTCGGACGAGGACTTTTCCAACATCTACAAAACAGTCGATCGAAAACCACAACCGGAAAGTGATCACAGATGTAAAGAACAAAGAAAGTTAGGAAAAGCTAGCGACTCAAAACAGATTTTTGCTCTGAAGTTCACAGGTGACTACCATTTCATATAATGCACTACAGCTAATATGTTGCGAGTGTTCTGAGCGCATTAATCACACTAACAGTCATCAGGTTTAATATCTGACAATAAACAATTAATTATATAGCAGAATGTTACGCAGGTAAACACAACGTAACGCTTAAGTTATAGTTTCTGCTAATGCAATGCATCCTACTCGAGGCTAGCAACAAATCAAAACAGGCACGCAATAATAACAATAACATAAACAATACAGAATCGAATACGGATTCAGGTTAAGGAAACATAGAAACATAACTCAGAAAAAATAACGGCTGAATCTACTTAGAGAAGGCAATAGATAACGGCTTTTAAGACTTCTTTCTTTTTCAAGACTCTTTCTGATGTTCTTTCATATCTCGAGCGTACAAGTACTGGGCTTCGAGATACATCAACGGGGATAAGATCGCCACCATTCGCCGATGCCATCCTTTTGGATTCCAGTGTTCACCGCCTGCACTGCAGCTGTATCTATCGCTAACACCGTCGGTCGAATGCACACCGGTTTCAAATGTCGAATGTCGATTAGAAACATTGAACCACTGATTCCAGCCTTTGCTATTCCAATCGCTATCGGCCACGACGCATTCTGACAGAGCAGTACTCATAGAACGATCGAGTGCTGAATCGTTGTTGGCATCTGGCATGGACACAGCTTGGTCGATCTTTGTCTTAAGCATCATCGTGTGTTAGGTAAGAAATTATAATTTCAATACGGACAGTTGCTGAACGTCACGAAAGGACTGCAAGGCGAGAAGGACAAGCAACGTGAACAGAACAACTTCGCGTGTCATGCAAACACAACAGTTCAATAAAACTGCGAAGCTTGCAGTAGCCATGAAGATTAAGCCATTGAATGTTTCACAAGCTACCAATTCTTTCAGCCTAGTTCAATCGGAGTAACTGCCGAGTTTGCCAAGGGTTAATAGCAGGAATGAAGATTCAAAATCTTAGAAGACGCTTAAGCAAAAGGCACTTAGAACAGAAACGCAGCGAGTCAATGTCACACTCAGTTCAGACGGTAAACTACATCACTCATAAATCTGCATCAATGAGTTAATTTCGGACATTTACGAAATCAGTGATTCTCTGATCCGTATTGACCTTAATGTCAATCGCTTATCGGCCCTTCAATTTTCGCCTCAGTCGCGTGCACCAACTACAACCCTTATAGCCGTATCTTCCCCAGACGATCATTTCTTGTTTTTAAGATGTATTCATGAATTACGTCACATTTGACTGTCACACTATTCCTTGAATGCCTCCGTGAAATTAGTTTTCACAGTTTACGATGGTTCAGGTCTGATATTCAGAGCACAAATCCTACTAGAGAAATGACCAAATATAACACAGTGAGGCGGCGTAGCTCCAACTTGCCTTCATCACTTTGTTTTAGTTTGCTGTGATCGTCACTTGGTGCAGTTTACATCAGTCAAGTCACTATGTCCGTCGTATCCTTAACTTTTAAGCACTTTCTTTATAAGGCACGTCATACTACATCACATAAGGAATAATTTTTCTCATAATGCAGATCTGTTTCATATCTTGTTAAACATGTTGAACCTTGGTCTCCCGGTCGAAATATTCGGTGTTTCGACTCCCATACGAGAAGATCGTGGGTTGCTGCAAACGACATGTTCGATTAGTTTCTCTAACAGGACCAAGCACGATATGTTTGTCTTCAATCCATCGAGAATATCTGTGCTCAGCAGAAAATGTTAACTCAGCAGAATGCTTTCTAACGTGGTGATTTAACCTGTGTTATGTGGTGAAGCCAACGCTGTTGTACAACCAAATTCATACAGTATTTAATTAAAACTATGCTCAGTGTGCGGCATAACAACAATGACGAATATTCCTTTATCAGGCCACATATTGCCCAAATTACCAAAAGCACTGGATGCAAAGGCATTCTTCATATTTAACGCTGACTGGATTGTGCCTTCGCTGGGGACGATGGAACCGAGACGTTAAACTGATCAACTTTCTCCATTATTTTACCCTTCTGTTGCAGTTGCAGATTTACTGTGTCAAAAGGGTATCTCCTAACTTTCAATCTCAAAGTGTAAACAAAGAAGTCGGCTTTCGCATATGCGCAGAAAATGAGAGTCATAAATTGATGAAGTCAGCTAACATATTCTGCTAACAAATATCATCCGTATGTGTAATCCAGTTAAACATGGAGTTTTCTGGCAGCATATACCGGAACTGTGCTTTTTCTGCAAAATACCCCCCTTGTCGTTGCCATGGCCAGCACTGCTGAACAGCAAAACGGAAAGCAAGGAACATAGGAAGAACAATGTTGAGCGGCAAAAGCAGACATGATTCCGGCATACGTCTATTACAAAATGCAAACGCAATATGCCACAATCTACTGAAGCCTTAAAGTCGAAGAAAATGGTGAACCAACACAACTGCATTAGTCGTCATTCTCAGAATTACCACTAAGAACAGGAGCAACCGCCTTGAAACCTGCTCAATTTGAACGAAATCTCTCATCTACTATACACCTCAGCCAGTCCTGGACAATTTCTGAGACGATCTAGGCAGTTATCCGTAATATCCACAATAATGCATCATCATTATTCGATTCTGAATCTGTTTAACATATTTGCTACTCATGATTATGAATAATCTAAACTGCAACGTTTCCCGGCTGATTCTGAGTTCACTAGAGCTGGAGAGGAAATAACACATATCTACATTCTTGGCAAAGACAAACACACTTACTCTGAAGGGTGTG